AAGAAAGTTTAGCATGATAATGATTATAAAAGAAAGAAACGAACTACCTTCATTAAAAAAACCAACCAAACAGCATTACAATTCCAAAAGATGACATTTTAAATTCTTACATAAGCAAATGAATCCATTTGTTGGCGGAATGGTGGACTCTGCAGCAACTCCAATATATCCTCTGGAGACCATTGACCCTGCAACCTCAACCAAATCAAACAATGGCACAAAAGTAGTGCATAACAAAACAGAGAACTCAAGTACCAGAATGATGCATACCTCAGGTAAGTAAGACTCTAAACGCTGCTCTAGTTGCAATGTCTCAATCAATGGCATAATCAAATCAGGTTTCAATATGTCCCCCAAACTCAAGCCTAGCCCAACAAAAGACAAGTCAAAATTTTAGAGCCATACCATATTTTAAAGAATTGTAGAAGATACTCTACTACAATCAGCCAGTATGCCAATTGTTAGAATTTTAAATAATGATTGACAGGTCCCAATAGAGACGTTAATACGAAAATTAGGAATTAAAATCACTTTAGATCCTCTGTGAATGGTCCAAATTCACATTGTCACCTTGCTTTTAAAACTCTCAGTTTTGTTAAAATCATTGAATACCACCTGAACCTCTGGGATCAATTCTGTCAGATTCTGCCATTTAAATTAACCCAATTGTGCCTCAATTACCATATTTACTTACATCAGAGCAAAGTGAACTTTTCCCACAAGTAACTTGATTATTCTGCCAAACAACTAGGAGAAAGGCCACCACAAGGAAGAACGAGAAAAGAAACAGGCTAGTATGGAAATTTGCAAAATGAACATTCCAAGAATACCGCCCACCACGTCATCCTTTTTGAATAAAAACACTCAATAAAGGGCCTAAACACTGAATGAAAGGCATATACTGAAGCACCATAATGGTTCGGAGCAAAGTGTTCATAAAAATTGTTATTTACTGGCTGAATTAAGGAAATAGATGACCTCCGATGCTAAAAGCAAACAGGGTTAAAAATATGAACCCGGTTATAGAAATTCATTTATCTTTCTTACTTCCACCTAGTAGTTATGAGTATGCGTTCTAATCTATTTTGTAATGGGGATCAAAAACACTTGATCATGCCACGTTGAAGTAATTTTTAAACATTAAGGATTTCACTACAGGAAATAAGCAACACATTCAATCTTCCACAATATTGCTACTTCTTTTGAATAAAAAATATGAAGAGCATTTTGCATTGAAACTATGCAATATATTAGATAGTTCAGATAATGAAAAGCGTAATAAATTTCCTAGATCGAGGCAACCTATACATTAAATCACAAAAGTTTGGATGTAAGGCATTTGTGTCCATTTAAAACAACACCAACGATAAAAGATCATGATCTCACCTTCATCTGGATCCAAAGCAGTATCTGCAGATGACACAAGAAGTGACAGAAGGAAGAGTAATTCAACGAAATGAGAGAAAAGACTTATATACAAATGTATAATATAAGGAGAAAACTTGATACCTGCTGGGTCAATATTGCTTAAGATTCTTTGAAGATCTTCCAATTTCACTGGGCCAGATGAAGAAGTCACATCGCTACTTACTTCTGCACCGAAGTTTGGTTCCACCAATATTCCAGCTCTGGAAGACATAACATTGATCAAAACAGAGTAATGTTACGCAAATTCCAAGAATACAGAGAGAAAAAGAAAAAACACATTTTCAAATGAAAATAACAAAGGTATTGCACATGCAAGAAATTAAGTATATCATCATAATCACTCCCAGAAACAAACAGTTCATTTTTAAATTCAGGAACAGTTCAAATCATGAATCAAAGACTTTATAGGATTGTGTAGAACATATGAGTGAAAACAATTACAACACAAGCACAAGCTGGAAAATCACCTTGCAGGTCATGAAATATAGTCCTACAAGTTAAAGGAAGGATAATCAAAATCCTAATCCCCATTCCCACTCCCCAACTATACCTCTGTGACCAAGGACCCAGACAAGGGATTTCTGGTGCTTAGAAAACTTGGTACATAGTTACCGGCCCTGTACTATGTGCATATCCACAATAGTCATCTAACCATCACATGATTGATGAACAGTTCGCTTAGAGAATGCTCATGTTGTCAAAATGAAATGGAGACAAGCCACAATTTCATGCATTATTAAAAATAACTTACATCATTACGGCAAGCCCAGATGCAGAGCACACTGTAAAAATCTTATTAAAGGTTGCCCATGTCCCCGATACCCTCCCCACCTCAGCTTGAGGGGAGTCCAATCATAACAACATAATTTTTTAACATTACAGTGAGTACTACACCAGGAGGGGAAAATTTAGTTTTCCTTGACAAGTCACTAGGAGTCGACCATCTTTGATAAAAAGGTCAATAAGCTCACCAGCATTTCTTAAAAATACAACTGCTTTATGTTTAGCCATTTCAGCCTTTGGAATCATTGAGAATTTGCTATTAATTCTGATACAATATTTGGTGGCAGCCTTTTTCATCTTGTAATATAATATTTGATGTCAACCTATTTGAAAGAACCCTAAACTTATTTGACATTCCACTATAAGTCCGCCACTCAGGTTTTATTACTTGTTCTGGAGTTTTGTTCCCCCCCTCCCCCTTCTCCCTCTTTTGGCAACTAACAGGACAAAGGTTGCAAGTTTCACTGCTATGCTATGAAAAATTTACCTTGATGAAATATCATCTTCAACCATATCTTCAGAAACTTGTAGAGGAACAGAAGCATCAGGCCCTTCTTCATCAAGGAACTCTGCCAAAGCAGCAAGATAAACACAGTATCAAACTTGAGGCAGAAATGCAACAAAACAAAGACTGAACTTTCAGGTTTTGAAAGTCAAAGTTGAAGCCTTCATAAAGATTTTCTGTAGTGAGAGATTTCACATTTTAGGTAATGTTCTATAATGCCATATGATGTGATACGATATGATATGAATATCCATCGAAAAATATCATGCCATTAAATGTCAAGGACTGGAAGTACGTGTCATGTACATAATTCAAATAAAGCTTAATACATTGCAGAGGTGCAGTTAACGGAAACTTCTTTTTAAAAATATATAACAGAGATAATGTTAGTGGTAGCCTAAAGCAACAAAATGAATTTGACATACCTAATGGTCGATTGAGGTGGTAATTGACTGAGCTACACAAGTGTGAGTCATTTTCAGCTTTAGGCTCCTTAATATCATATTAGCAATCAAAGTTAGAATCTTATAAGACTTACACATTGAATGGTCAGAAAAGAAAATAGATTCACAATAAACCAAACCTGCATCCAGAAGAAGAACTTCCTATCATCAGTGTTGAACTTCAATAAGTAAACCCTTCCTGATGCTTGATTAACCTGAGTGAACCAAAATTTATTATTTGAACATTAGATTTTTGGGAGGGGGCAGATCTGCATTACAAAAATCCCAAATAATCCTAAATACCTTTTCAAAAACTGCCTCATCGGGAAAGATGATCTGATCCTGTGGTATTTTTGTTAAGGAAATTTTAGCAAAAGTATATAAAAAAAAAACAGAAGATAAATATAAACCGAAAGAGTAAACACACAAAAACATGGAAATAGTGAAACTGTGAAGTGAACAAGAATTACAACAAAATAAGGACGTACAAATATAAGAGGGAGAATTGAACAAGTATGAAAGAACAAAGACTTAAAAAAATAATAACAATAATAAAAACATCAACAACAACAAAATACAATTATGAAAGCAATAATCATAAAGGGCTTAAAACATTTCAAGAAAAGGAACAGGCGTCATGCATTTGTGAAATACAAAGTTCCAACACCACAAATCAAGATTAGAAACTGGAAAAAGATTTTTGAAAAAATGAAAATAAACCAGGATACATCTTCAACAACATTTTGGCTCCGATCAAGCCACTGAAAATGCACCAACCCCTCATCACCCTGATACAGAAAGAAGATAGATTTACTCTAAAATGTTGTGCCAGAAATACTTCAAATAAATATTAGATAGAATGGATGTCAACTTCTGAAGGTTAGAATTAGAATAATGAAATACCTTCGCAATGCGAACAAGTCCTTTACGGGTATCAGGAGCAACCTTTTTCCCCTCAAAAACCATTTTACCAGCACGAAACTCCAGCATAATTTCCTGCCAATAGATGTTAGTTTGATGAAGAAAGTCCAACCATGACACAGAAAACAAGAGATGAACACAGAAACATGCGTGCACTCAAACACAGACAGGCATACATAAAAGCATAGAATTCTGCGCTTACTTGTCTAAAAGTCAATGTTTGAAACTAACATTCTGATGCCAACCAACAACATACCAGCAAAGCAAGAGAAGAAAAGAAATTGAGATAGAAATTGGAGAGTAAACATATAATTAATTTATTTTTAGTAGCAGAACCATGCTAGTTGGAGCTTCTGAATTTGTGTACAGTACTGGGAATTTGTATAACAAAATGAAACAAAGAAAGTGAGGAATACATGTAGAAAGGAGAAGCTTGTACCATAATGCTACACAGAAGGTGGAAAATGAAAATCCTAAGAGTGTGTAAAGAAGAGAAGCCAATATTTAATAAATTTGATAGAAACTCCAAATTCTAAATGTTCATCCAAAAGGTCCCTCAAACTATAAACTCAACAGAAACTTCACCTGCTCAAGGGATATTTCCTAACAAAATTTATCATCCATCTTCTTTTTTATTTCATAGTCAGATAAAATGCAACTCATACGAAAGCCAACGCATAATTGGAGATGTCATTCCTTTTAAAGACCATCCAGAAAACATAAGGAGGTCCTTCCACATAAGCTAAAAAAACCAATGTTACTGTGACTATCCCCACTTACAAGTCTTTCACCCAACTTGGTGTACTCCAAACTATCATGTTCCGACATAAATTTAATCGGAAATACAAATTTTCACAGCCATAATCAAACGTTCAGGCCCTGAAAGCCCTTCCTCTGGAAAATATTAACACTTGCAATGTTCCATGGTTGTTTTATTAAATACATATCACATATGGACGAAGTCACAACTATTCTATCGCTTCCAATATCCTATAGATTAAAACAAAAATAGCTACCCATATATGTATATGTATTACCTGCATTTGTGGGGTAGCTGCGTTTGAAGACGAACCCATTGTTTAACTTCCCTGTTTGAGGCCTTCAATGGCTCAAAACTACAGAATTGAAGTGGTGGGAACGAAGAAGATGAAAATATTGAAAATTAGGAAATGGAAAAAATAATAGAAGTCCAATGCTTTGAATGAAATCGAACCCTAGAAAAAGAAAAAACAGACACAAAAATTATCAAAAGAAGCAAACAAACACCAAAAATAAGATTAATAATCATCATAACAACAGTGATAATAATGAGAATAAGTACCTGTATATTGCATAAAAAATAAAGATATTTGATTTTTCGGTGAAGAGCTTGTGAGAGTTTCGTTTTACAAAGAGTGTTATTTTAGGATTCTGAGTTGTCAGGGACTCGAGGTCGAGGACGAGTTGGGCTTTTCAATTCGGGCGCCACATCGCACGTATTTACTAAAGTGGCAGTCGGTCTAAAAGTTTATTTATTTATTTATTTTGTTAAACATAAAAAAAAAATTACAACGAATATCCACGACGGATTTTATCACCATACAAATTAAATTTATACAAATTTATAAATAAACTCAATCCTATACATGTATTTATAAAAAAACCCAAGCACTATTTAAACATAGAAACACACCCAAAATTAACCCCAAAGTCAACTTTTTGGGTGTGTTTATAAATGAGTTTTGAGTGTGTGTAATGATGAGTTTTGGGTGTGTTTATAAAGTGTTTTGGGTGTTGGGTTTTTTTATAATTTCAACCTCCATTTTGGGTGTTTTAGTGAAACTCCCTTAAATTTAACATACCATCTAATAGGGAATGAATTTAAACCAATTACGTGAATGAGAGTGAGTCTTGCCTCTCTTAGCTAGAAAGTCAGCAACTTGATTAGCTTCTTAAACTAATAGTGGAGATTGATTATCTTATTTTCACTTGCACTTCTTCTTTCATACTTTTCACTTCTATTTCGATAAGGATGTATGTTGGTTATGCTTAGACTCTAAACTACAATCGAATTAATGTAACACCCATAGTTTGATTCGTTTTAGGCCTCAAACTAATAACACAACTGAATTAATTAATTTAATGAATGTTTAGGTTCGGTGATTTTTCTTCAATTAAACAAATATTATATATCCTTTATATATCAAAGAGAACTTTGCACGGTAAGTGAAAAATATTTGAGAAAACTTACCATTGAAAATTGAGAAATTTTGAGAGATGGTATTAAATTCGAATGGTTTTAGAAATTTAGTATTTTTGCATTAAATGGTTCATATCAATGTGGGATGGAGCATACTAACAAATAGTGATAAAACTAATAAGAAAATATTGAGTATAAAAAAAAACGTGTAGTTTGGTTTGATTTAGACGGTTTCTCAATAGTCTAAATCAAACGAAACATCGAGTGTAAAAAAAACATGCAATTTGGTTCGAATTGGACGATTTTTCAATAGTTTAAATTAAACCAAATCAAACTAGTTGCGATTTGGTTTGGTTTGATCTAAAATTTCAATTTTTAGTGTAAAACCTAAATAAAATCGTTTCAGATTGATTTGATTTGACCAACTTGAATAGTACTTACGAATTTATGCACACCCTTGCTTTTTATGACTGGTGTATGTCCATACTCTCATCTATCATATTTTGTCAAAACAAGCATCTCAAGGTTATCTATCAAATAAATGCATACAAAAGTGAACTACAGTTATCGTGACTTTTTGATTTGGGGTCACAAATTTCCTTGTGTAGGGTTGCTGCCTAAATGTAGGTCCCACCCATTGTGAGAGAGAGGGTTGCCACAAGATTTGAAAGATCGGGAAATAGGCTGATTTCAAATTCTGAATTGGTTGCTGCAGGACTGTGCAAGATTTGCCTAGTAGTGTTGGAGAAGCAGTGACAAGTTTGATATTTGTTGTATCAAGATGTGGTGAATTGCCAGAGGGAAGCCCTTTACATAAGTTTTATATACAATGAATTAGCTTGAGTGAAGCCCTTTACAAATTGGAAACTGCTAGACCCTTATGGGTGAAATGAAAATGCTCGGATGTGAGGCTTCCCCTTGCGGTGTCCTTTTCTGGTGTGAGAAAAATTTGTTTCCTTATCATCTCTCTTTCTCCCTTTCTACTATATTGTCTCAACTTTACTCTTCAATATGAAATATGGTTATCCATATGAAGATGAAATGGTCATTCACTCCAAAGATAGTAAGGATCTGGAAAAACATATCAAAAACAATATTGCTCACCTTGGACTTCTCATTGTGGACAGTGAACCACCACAGTCTGTTGTCAAGGAAGTTCTAAGAATGGTTTAAAGCAGGATGGGTGTTATGAAGCTCCTCAAAGCAAAAGAAAATGTATGCTCCATCACGATGGGATAAGAAGTTGAAAGAAGATTGATTGAAGGAGGTCCACTGTTCATCAAAGGTTACACCATAATTGTGAAACACTAGCCTATCTATCATTCTTTTAATGATATCCAGGCAAATCGAGCAGCATACTAGGTACAAGCACATGGTATCCCCCATAATCTCTTCACAACAAAAAAATGCCAGGCAGATAGGTGCTCGACTTAGGTTGGTGCTTGAGGTTGAAGATATCAATGTTGCTAGCTTTTATGGCTTCTTAAGAATGCGCATCGACCTTAATGCCACAAAACCTCTAACTCAAGAGTTTGTCATGCCTTGCCTAGTGGAAGGGTCCGGCGCTTGTCAAACCAGACGATGTGTTCGATCGGAGTGATTGGAGCCATCGCTAGGAAAGAAGTAGTGAAGGGTTGTATGACGAACCCGAAAGGGGCATTCACATGTGCAACGATGGAGAGTCCATGGTCAACACAACAATAAATGAGACAAATCTTACAACCGTATCACAACATGAGCCACGGTCTTAATCGACACATCAGATGACAAATCTGCAACCTGGGATGATTCAGTCTGACTTCTGGGACCCATAAAGCCACAGTTTGCTATACAGAAATGGCACCCGAAGCCTAGTTGTCCAAGGGTTGTCTTTGGAGCACAACTAGTGCGACCCAAAAAGTATCATAACTTGAGCCTTTGAATAAACCTCTACAGTCCTTGAGCGCAACCGCAATATTGAGCATATCATTACTGAGCTAGATGGGTCCAACACATACGAATCCTAGATAATAATTGAAGATGCAGTTTCATGAGCCCAACCTCAATATTGGGCCTATCATTACTAAGTTGGAAGGGTCCAACACAAATGAAGCTCAGGATTAACATTGATGATGTTAAAAGTTTGTTGCTTTTTGAGACATCAAATTTGTTCTCGGAGCAAGATAAAAGACAACGCAATGGTAAAGAGAAACTATTTGAATAAAGCCAAGGTGGATGCCTAAATGAAAAGGCTAGGGTTTCTCTCAGTCCTACGTCCAGATGTTCCCTTCTCCTTTCATGCAAAGGAGGAAGGAAGGAGGAAGAAACTTGTGTTGAAAATCCAGATGTGGTTGTTCCAGGAGTCGCCCATCAAGAACATCAAAGCATGATAGTGAAAATACCTTATGCACTGACAATAAACTCTGTGAAGCGGTTATATGTCCCTCTAAAGAACTAGAGGAAGTTGAGAATTGACTGAAGGAAGAAAAATATGTGAAAGAAAGCAATGACAAACGATATAGTGGTTGGCCTCAAGCAGCCACACAAATTGAATGATACTCAAAGGCGAGAACAAAGTAGTGATTGCTCGTCCAAATGGGTTACCACTTAAGACAAGGTAGTTGTAGCTCTCATTCCCTAGCTGATAAAAGTACGAAAAAAGCCACCATTCCTTACCTTACATGGATCTCGCTGGTGCCACCTAAACGGTAGGTAGGCGACGGATGCCTTTAACCTTAGTGAGGTGCTTGAACCTTCCTATGTGTTCATACTCCTTTTTTCTTATGTATTTCTCATTTTTCATCCCTCAGCCTAACTGAAGTGACTGCGAAAAAGAAAAGAGTCACCTGACAGTGTGTGAGCTGAGAGGGATCTAATATTCTGCCTTTGCTATTGACCTTGTGCCTGTGTGATGGCGAATAATTCTCAAGATATAACCATTTTTGAATGTTTATAACCCCCCATAAATGCAATTTTCTATCGTGCCAAGTCTTTTTCTTATTCCTTACTCTATTGGCTGGCTCACGGGATTACTTGATCAGTGGAACCACTCCATTTGATTACCTATTTATCTTTTTTAATTAATAATTTTGTGGGTATGTCAAATATTAAAAGAAGACTGCCGAAGTGAATGTCAAACAATATTAGGTTTATTGTGAATCCTGCCTTTGCCTTTTTGTTAGCAACTCTTTTATCAACCTAGGAAAGAG